GAAAAGTGACTTTAGGAGATAATTTGAGATAGTTGAGTGAGCATTTGAGTAATTGACTCCCTGGATCTCTCTCATAACTTCCTCACGGGCTTTGAAAAACAAGTATGGCGGTCAATGGAGTTGTTCTACCTCAGTTTGGAGAACAATTTTCTTCAAAGTTCCTTGCATCCGTCCATTTGTGACATGATTAACCTTCTAGTTCTCATTTTGGCTCATAATAGTTTTAGTGGTACAATCCCAGGATGTTTGGGTAACTCCTCCAACATTTCTACGTTAGACTTGCGAATGAACAATTTTTATGGAGAGATACCGAGATCCTTTGTTGCAGGGTTACAATATCTTGGTTTAAATGGGAATCAACTGGGAGGACAAGTCCCACGATCCTTGGTTAACTGTACAAGCTTGCAAGCTCTTGATTTGGGGAATAACAAGATAAATGACACATTCAATCATGACAAGTATTGATTTATCAAGCTACAGATTTGAAGGAGATATTCCGAAATCCATTGGAAGTCTGAGTTCGCTTGTGTATCTCACAACAATTTCCATGGTTATATTCCGGCAGATATCGCAAAGTTGAGTGAGCTTGAAGCATTAGACCTCTCATGGAATAGGTTCATCGGAGAAATTCCAGTTCCGTTGGCGAGTTTGACATTTCTTCATGTCTTAAACCTTTCCTACAATCATCTTGTTGGGCGCATCCCTCATGGGAGACAATTCGATACATTTTCAAATGATGGGTACGCTGGAAATCCTGGTTTATGTGGATTTCCACTAACAAAGGAATGTGGAGAAAACAAGAATGCGACACCATTTGCACAAGATGATGATGATGATTTTTGCTAGCGGGTTTACATGGGAAGCTGTCGTAATAGGGTATGGTTGTGGTATGATTTTTGGATTGTTCATTGGAAGCCTAATGTAGTTCCTACTGGAAAAACCAAAATGGATTGTCAACTTTGCTAAAGATGTTGCTCAAAAAATTGCTCAAGAAATCGCTGCCAAGAAACGGAGGAGGCCAAAGAAGAGACATGGTTTAAGAATGAATTAGCAATTTACCAGGTATGCATTAAAATACATCATTTTTCCCCCTAAGGACCTGGATATTCAACAACTCAGCAAAGCTATTACTGTTTAATTCTAATATCCTCTCTATTCTTATTTGGTATCTGCAAATGTTGCTGGAGATTTGGACAAGTTTATATATACTATTTTTCATTAGTAATAAGTTGGTGGTGATGTTCTGGAAAATAGCAATGATGTATCTGTTTCTTCACTTTAATACATAGTATATGTTATTTCTATAGTTTTATGGCAAATAAGAATTATGCTTTAGACAAAACATCCTCTAAAGGATAGAGACTTCAATTAACATTCTATATAAGAGTTAATTATTCAAATGGTCATCTGAATTATACCATTATTGCAGTAAAATCAACTAAATTTTGTCACACTAAAATCTCACTGAACTTGCTCTATTTGGTCATCTGAATTGTACCATTCAAAATAATTGCTGTAACTTTTTAAGTAATGAAAATTACCTCGTCAAGAAAATAGAAGAACCTCTCCACCTTGAAATTGCAAAGCTTAATTTTTGACAATGCATGAACTGGGATTTCTATCATTTGTAATCCACTGGGAATTCGGTGGTACAGTTAGTTTACTGTCAATCTTTATGTTAAGGAGGAGTTTATGGGCTTTTCCTTTTTTGGTTTTCCCCTTTTCACTGCTTTAAAATCAACCTTACCATGCTTGTTAGAGATCTAATTACACTTCTATGGTGGTTAACTTTGCCTTTAATGGTTCTTCAAAATCGATTCCACCAGATGATGAGAGTTACAGCAACGATTCCAAGTTCCTTCAAACTAAATTTTGCCAAATCCAGACTCACCTTCGACTTTGCCTTAATTCACTAGGAAATTCTAAAGGGACGTGAAGAATATTTTGAGGGGACTTGTTTTGGTGATACTTCTAGAAAATGAAAGAGAAAGAGCCTTACTGCCCTTTTTTACATTGTTACCAAGCATAGGAACTTTTGCCACTCCCACGTGCAAAATGGGTTGCCCCGCCCTGGTTGCAGCGCCCAGTGAGACACTTGGCGCAAACTCACTGAAACGTGTGACTACCTGCTGGCTTCGAACGTGCCTCCAGCTGATTGGCCGCGCTAGAATCCATATTTACCATGCTTTATTTAAATGTGGGGCGTAACATATAAATTTAAAATTTTACTTTTCTTTATTCTCTAAATTCAGCAATTAACTCTAAGCAAGTAGCAAGACATCTCTAATGATCAAGTTTATTCCTTTATGTGTTGTTTCCTCTCTATGGGTTTATACTTGCTGGTTTTGGACAAACATTTTATCAACAAAAGTTTTAGTGTTCTTTTTTGTATTTTTGAATACTTTTAATTAAGAATATTACGGTCTATGACTTTATGCACTAATTAGTATTCAAACCGAACAAATCAAAGTTACTGAACCGGATAAACCGAAATTCAAAGGAGAGAAATCGAATCTATCGAATTTAATTAGGTAAGATATTGGTATAGCACTTTAAGAATGTCTAAATACCATACATCATCGACCGACAAACACCCCTATTACCAATGTTCATTTGACTTAAATTATATTAGAAATAATAAAAGAAAATATTAAAATATTATAAAAACTTTCATTTCATAGGAAAACAAGTATTAAATCAAAAGTTAAAATTGTCAAGAGGTAAACGAATTGAATTATTGAAAGCAGTACAAGTTATGTATAATCACATTATTGATGAAATGATGTTAAATATTTGGGTTGTTTTAACATGAAACAGAAGTATGAATTTGGATGGAGGGAGTAGCAATTTGTGAAAGTTACGATACCAAAAATGCATTTTTTTTTTTTTTTTTTTTTTTTTTTTTTTTTTTTTTTTGTTTTGTTGCGATGAAATACAAGTAGTAAAGTAGTAAATGGTGAATACACTACATTTGTTTGATGGTCACAAAGACTAAAGTCAGAGATCCTACCTCCCCCCACCCCACCCCACCCACCCTTTTTCCCCCTTTTATATTGATATAAGTTGATAACAAAAGTAAGGCTAACCAAAAAAAATCAGCATTGCTACTTAGTCTTTCTTGTTAAAACATTTCATCAGACTTGGTTGTATGCATGAATTTAATCATATGATAGAAAATCCTGCAGCAATTTTCTTAAGACACTTATCTGACATTCATTAGAAAAAACATATTAATAATTTACGAGTTCAATTCGTAATTTCTACCATGCCACAGCAGCGCCAACTCGTCCTTTTCAACCATCTCTCTCGCATTCCCTTCTTTTAGGTACTCTTCCATGCTTATGCTATACGTACTTTATCGCTCCCTTCTGTCGATAATAACATATTGTGTACGAGGTTTTAAAATATTTAATTTCTTTCATAATCAGGATATCGATTTTATAATTCTTTTTTAGAGATAAAATTTACGCATTTGGAAACCACAACAGTTGATTTCTCAAATAGTAAGTGTTACATAAAATGGTTAGGGCGGGGACTTGGTTGTTAGTTACAACTAATGAATACGTGCACCTGATATCGTTTCTTGTTTCCTTGCATCCCTTTGTGCGCATGCCCACTTTAACTTGTTGGACTAAGCTGGGCAAAAAATGCACTAAAGAACAATTTCAACTTGAAACTTCTGAAGTTGGCAAGTTTATATTACCAAATTCTTGACTTAGAACACATGTAAAATGCATTATTTGGGCGAAGACGAGTAAATCATGTACATAAACTTTGGTCGTTGGCACGGAGAGATCAATAACCAAGTAAATAATTTAGGTCGACTAATTTCGGTCCGTGCCGTAAGAGCTCACTATTGAAGTTGCAAATAAAGTGATGCTGTCAATAAGAGCTCAATCATTGATGGGCGACTACTGTCGGTAGATTCCTGTCATGGATTCAATTATTCACATTAACGCGTGTACGAAAAGTTTCAAACAATAAATGAAGTGGCAAAACTCAATCAAAATAGGAACTTATTTTAAAATTAAGAGCTGATGAGCTATCACAAAAAGGATAGCTTAGTGGAAATTGACACAAAGACTTGATGTTGGGAAGCGCGCCAAGCTAATAGAAGGAAAAGAATATTTAAGAGAGAAAAACAATAAATTGCACAAGACAAGACAAGGCAAGATTTAAGTGGTTCAGCAATTTTTGCCTACTCCACGATCACACAAAGAATATGTAACATTCCGTACATTCGGACTAGGCGTGGACATATTAAATGGGTATTAACTTGATATTTTATACATGTGAAGTCTCATCGGGATGATTATGGGTGAAAATAGTTGTTTTGGAATCAGGACGGAGAGTGAGCTGCATAAGATTTGACAAAATCGACTAAGTTTGCAGAAGGTCCGTCTTCCAGCAGGGTTTAGTGAAAATGTGTAAGGAACTTGGAAAAACACAAAGCATGAAAGTTGTAGGCCTTTGAAATAGCTTTCCAACGATATATTGTGGAGCCCAAACGGAGCTCTGTACAAAAAGTTATGCCCGTTTTACAGAAAGGTATGCAACCACCGCAGTCCGCCGCGTTTTACCGCGACCGCAGTGGCGAGGCAGTGTACCAGCGACTTACCGCGGTTGCGCCAACCGGGAGTGTACATGAACTTTGGTCGTTGGCACGGAGAGATCAATAACCAAGTAAATAATTTTTGTTTATAACCATTGGATATCCGCAATCTTTTAGGTCGACTAATTTAGGTTCGCAATCTTTTAGGTCGACTAATTTAGGTTCGCGCCGCATAGAGCTCACTATAGAAGTTGCGAAGTAAGTGATGCCGTCATGGATTCAATTATTCACATTAACGCGTGTAGGAAAAGTTTCGAAAGATAAATGAAGTGGCAAAACTCAATCAAAATAGGAACTTACTTTAAAATTAAGAGCTGATGAGCCATCACAAAAAGGATTGGTTAGTGGAAATTGACACAAAGTCTATGAGATGACTGGTTTATTGACTTAAAAGGAGTTTTTTTGTGCAAATTGACTTGGGTCAACAACTAAAGAAAATGGAAATTTCTCTGTAGTATAAAAGGAACTTGTCTTTTTTTAATGAGATTCCGACAAGATAAAAAAGGTGAAGTCATTTTCACATTTCAAAGTAGGAAGTAATAGTGATCAATTGATCACTATATAGGTGGAGTAGGAGTTCCTAGTTAGATATCTGCAAGAGATAAGATATGGAGTACCAATTATTGCTACTTTTCTGCTTCTATTCAGTTGCTATAATGTTTATACTGCAATCTCAACTTACTGGCTTCTCATATGCTAGGCAACATCTCTGTGCTCGTGATGAAGCTTTTTATTTGCTTCAATTTAAGCAAGGCCTCATAGTTGATCCCGAGCACGCTTCTTGGTGTGATATCAATGCCCCATCCAAGACTTTATCCTGGAATGTAACAGTAGATTGTTGCGAATGGGATGGAGTTACTTGTGATGAATTTACAGGTCATGTGATAGGCCTCGATCTTTCTTGCAACTTTCTTAGAGGAACCATAAATGCTAACAGCAGCCTCGTGAAACTTGTTCATCTTCAAAGTCTCAACCTTGCCTTCAATGACATGGATGATTTTCCACTTGGAAATGGTATTAGTGAACTCGCGAGTTTGATGCATCTCAATCTTTCAGCTTCTGGAACTTATGAATTAGAGATGATCCCACCAGGATTATCCAACTTGTCAAAGTTGGTTTCACTTGATCTCTCTTATTGCGAACTCCAAATTGGCCCGAACACATTCAGAACTTTGCTTCAAAACTTAACCAATTTAGAGGTATTGTCTTTTCTCTTCATGGAAACACCATTTGAGTTACCCAAGAATATGTCTTCTTCTCTTAGGTATTTAGATCTTAGACAAACAAACTTGTTTGGTGACTTGAGCGATTCTAATCTCTTTCATCTACCAAACTTGCAAGTGCTAAGATTAGGAGAGAATCTTGAACTTACAGGCATTCTGCCAAATTTTAACTGGAGTTTCAGTGCAAGTATTTTAGAGTTGGACTTTTCTGGAACTAGTATTTTTGGAAATGTACCAGATTCAATTGGCAACCTCCATTCTCTTATGTTTTTGAGCCTCGCGCATTGCCATCTCTCTGGCTCAATTCCAAAATCCATAGGCAACCTCACCAGACTTAGAACTTTGCATCTTCCAATTAACAACTTCAATGGTAATGTTCCCTCAACTATCTCAAAAATGAACAAACTTAACGATTTAGATCTCTCTTTCAACCATTTTCAAGGCTCAATACCAGAATCCATCGGTAACCTCACTAGAATAAGCAAATTGGATCTTTCAAATAACAATTTCTCTGGAAATGTTCCCTCAACTATCTCAAAGCTGAACAAACTTAGCTACTTAGATCTCTCTTTCAATAACTTTGAAGGCCAGATTCCAGACATCTTTGCCAACTTTTCAGAGGTAACTCATTTATTTTTTTCAACAAACAATTTCACTGGCTCATTCCCTTATTCAATTGTAACCTTGACTAGCCTTAGAAAATTGTCCTTGCAAAACAATTCACTCACTGGTCCACTTCCCTCTAATATAAGCGGCCTTCAAGAGCTAGAAACGCTTGATTTGTCCTTCAATTCTTTCACTGGCGCACCACCCCCTTGGTTATTCTATCTTCCATCCTTGACTGATTTACAAGTTCAAGACAATCAATTAACTGGGATATTGCCACATGTGTTGAAGAGCCATAATTTCGAAACATTTTCAAGCATGCACTTGAAACTTCTGAAGCTTTCAAACAACAAGCTGTATGGTGAAATCCCTGATTGGATGACATCCATGAACGTGGTAGTCCTCGATCTCTCTCATAACTTCCTCACGGGCTTTGAAAAGCAAGTATGGCGCTCAACGGATTTGTTCTACCTTAATCTGGAGAACAATTTTCTACAAGGTTCTTTGCATCAGTCCATTTGTGACATGATTAACCTTCAAGCCCTCATTTTGGCCCATAACAATTTCAGTGGCACGATCCCAGGATGTTTGGGTAACTCCAGTAGCTTCATTTCTGTTTTAGACTTGCGAATGAACAATTTTTATGGAGAGATACCAAGATTCTTACCGACAGGGTTAAAATATCTTGGTTTAACCGGCAATCAATTTGGAGGACTAATACCACGATCCTTGGTTAACTGTACAAGCTTGGCAGCTCTTGATTTGGGGTACAACAAGATAAATGACACGTTCCCGATATGGCTGGAGAAACTTCCATACCTGCAAGTTCTGATACTGAAATCAAATCTCTTTCACGGTCCAATTGGTGAATTGATGTCCCAATTTCCATTTCCGGAGTTACGAATCTTTGATCTTTCCTTCAATGGGTTCACTGGAACTTTGCCATCTAATCTTTTCAAAAATTTTACAGCGATGATGAAAGTGGATGAAGAAAAAACAGGAATCCCTGGAAAAAATAATAGCAATGAAATAGATTACAGTTACCATGTTAGTTTGGTGATAAAAGGTAATGAGTTTGATATGAGAATCACGTCAATTATGACAAGTATTGATCTATCAAGCAACAGATTTGAAGGAGATATACCAAAATCCATTGGAAGGCTTAGTTCGCTTGTGTTACTCAACATATCTCACAACAACTTCCATGGTTGTATTCCAGCAGAAATCGCAAAGTTGAATGAGCTCGAAGCATTAGACCTCTCACAGAACAGACTCATTGGAGAAATTCCTAGTCTATTGACGAGTTTGACATTTCTTGAGGTCTTAAACCTGTCATACAATCATCTTGTTGGGCGCATCCCTCATGGGAAACAATTTGATACATTTTCAAATGATTCGTATGGGGGAAATCCTGATTTATGTGGATTTCCACTGTCAAAGGAATGTGGATACAAGAACACGTCAGATGAGCCACCATTTGAACAAGATGATGATGATGATGACGATGATTTAATTTTTGCGGGCGGATTCACATGGGAAGCTGTCGTAATAGGGTATGGTTGTGGTGCGATTTTTGGATTGTTCATGGGAAGCCTAATGTTCCTACTAGAAAAACCAAAATGGATTGTGAACTTTGCTGAAGATACTGCTCTAAAAATTGCTCAAGAAATTGCTGTCAAGAAACGGAGAAGGCCAAAGAAGAGGTATCAAAGACATTGAGACATGGTCTAAGAATGAATTAGCAATTTACCAGGTATGCATTACACAAATGGTCATTTGACTTGTACCAATATTGCAGTATCTTGTCACACTCAACTTGCTCCACATTTCACAAAATTTCCAATTATGAATCCTCTATAATGTATATCCATCACGCACGCTCTATTTGGACCGTTTAATACCAGAAAGAACGCTAAACCCTACAATAATTTCAAATAGAGCTAGACAAAATTCAAAATACCAAAAACCCCGTATGAGAATTCGTTTAGCATAAGCCTAAAGAATATACACTTTCAGAAAAAATGCAGTAACTGATACTAATTTCTAAAGTAATGAACTTTACCTGGTTAGGAATAGAGAAGAGCCCTAACGGAGTCTCCACTTTGAAATGGCGAAGCTTAAGTTTTTTGAATCGTTCCTTATCACTGTACGCTGTAGCAGCCGAATTCCATAGAATCGTCATCAGGAAACGGGTAAATATAAATATGGAAATTGGGTGGATCATTTATTCAGGCAAAAGCAAAAAGATATTTTGTTTTGCATAGAGCTCACAAATCATAATTTATGCATTGAAATGTATGATTAAAGTCGAAAATTACAAGATGCTAACTACTTAGCTAACCATTTTTTAATTCAAAAATAAATTATAATTCTAGGATAAATCACATGTGTTCGCCAACTACTGTACAGGGCATTACAATTTGGTATTGGAGGAAGAAAAGGGGAGCAACAACATAAACCAAGTTACAGCTTGTTTGGATGGTTATTACCCATTGTATTATATTATATTGTTATTCTAGAACAATGTTTGTTTTGATTGTTTCATTAAAATTGGTTGTATTGTATTGTTAATTTCATTATTCCGGAATAATGAAAAGTCCCATTTTTAAAACAACCGATTTGGTGTGGTGGGATTGTTTCCTATTTTTCTTTCCGATTATGCTCTAACTTAATACTCCATAATTATATTATACCCTTTACCTTTTATTTTATTTTATTTTAACTCTAAATCTCCAATCGATAACCTACTTTGTGCTCGTTCTTTTTTTCCAGAACTTTTTCCGCTTCCAACTATAACGTAACACGTGTTTTGCCTTCTTTTTTTTTGTTTTTTCTCCTAATTTAATTTTTTCTCCAATTCTAATTATCTTTGTTCTGTCAATTCACGTTCCTTTCTTTATCATAGTTCTTTAACATTTTATTTTTTTGTCTTATTATTATTATGATCTAATTAGGAATGGAGTGTACTTATTATTTTTTTTTAATAATATTAACTCGTTCCACTGATTTTGTTAGAATTTGCATGACTTTAATTGCTTAATCTATTTATAAGACATATTTGGTGATAATTAGTAGAAAGAGATTTTCTTAAATTGTTTTTATGCATAATTCTTGATAAATTTAATATTTAAACAATTGAGGGTATTTTAGTAAACTTATCAGTTACAGTACAGTACGATACGGTCAAACCAAACAGCAAAATATTATTTAACAACAGCAAACAATACAATCTATCCAAACGTTGTATTTATAAAATGATACGGTACGATACAGTACAATACAGTACAATACATTATAAAACGATGGGTAACAATGATCCAAACAGAGTGTTAGTGTCTGCAGCTAACCAAATGATCAACTAATAGTTTGTTCTTCTAATTAAAAAGGAAATGTTATAAGGCCATTGGACCTTTGGGCCTAGATTCATGTTTCGTCAAATCAAAATAGAAGTAAAAATAGCACGGTCTAGCCAGTTTTCGGACTAGTCATTCAAAAATAGTCAGCGTTTATCAAGTCAATAAGAAAATAGCCACTATTTTGCTGCAACAGAGACCGCTCCAGCATAATATACTGGAGTTCGGTGCACCTGTGTATGAACTTCCAGCATATTATGCCGGAACTCCAACACACGGAAAGTTCCAGCATAATATACTGGAGATTCGAGCACTTGTATATGAACTTCCAGCATATTATACTGGACCGGTATACTTGCTGGAACTCCAGTATATTATGCTGGAGTTCTAGTGTACTTATGCTGGAACTCCATCATATTATGCTGGAGTTCCAACATACCTATCCTGGAACTCCAGTATAATATGCTGGAGTTCAAGTATACTTATGCTGGAACTCCAGCATAATATACTGGCGTACTTTTTGGGTTTTGAACAGTGTTTTCGCTCAGATTTATCATTACATGAAAAGTGGCTAAATTTCGATTACTTTTGAAACTAGGCTATTTTTGAACGACCACTTGTAAATCTGGCTATTTTTTAATTTCTTCCAAAACAGAAGGTTTATAGCTTTGTCTTAGAAATGCTTAACAAGCCCATGACTTCTAGAACTATTTTTTGGAAATTTTACCTCCTATAACAAAGGTTGTTACCTTATTTATTATAAATAAATACCCTTTTAAAAAATTATATCCTATAGCTACCTTTTAATTTTTATAGCAAAATATCTATTTATGGTCACTTCCTACCTTTAAGCCATTAAATACGCTGTGTAGTATTTTTCTCTCTCCCTCTCTCTTCCCTCTCTTCTCCTTTCTCTTTCCTCTTTCTTCTATTTTCCCCCCGATTTCTTCATCCCCTGCTTTTAAAAATCTTAGCAGGCGCTGTGTTCCGCCAACGACAGATCCGGTCGGCTGCCACTTCCCCCATTCCTTGTTGTGTCACCCCTAACCCCTCCTCCGGCCGGCGATTTCTTTCACATAGTTGTGTTACACATTCTAAATTTTTCTTAGATTTTGGATTGATTGTTCATGTTTGCCTTGTGAGATCTGAAGAAGTTCTGTCTCTAGTTTCCATTTGATCCTTTAAATTGGTGCTTCTTCAACAACTGTCTTCATTTAACCGACGGCGACGCCCGACATGGCAACGGCCTGGATATCGGTGGATTGGGGATGGAGTTTGGGCCTGAGGAACTTGAAGAGTCTGTTACCTTTTTTTCATTGTATTTCAATGTATCTCGCTGTATTTCATGTATTTCATTGTATTCACTATCTTTTTTTCTATTGTATTTCAATGTATCTCGCTGTATTTCATGTATTTTATTGTATTCACTATCTCGCTGTATTCCATGAATGTATTAACAGAGACCGCCTGGGAAGTAGCTGTTGTAGTAGTAACAGATACGGCCTGAGCAAGACTGGTGCACACGGTCAAAATCTGAGGTAAGGTCTCCTGAAGACCTGGAATAACAATAGGTACAGCTGGTGCCTGAGCTGGTCCCGCTGGTGCATCCATAACTGGGACCTGATCATGTGTTGGGGCAACTGGTGCATCTGCAGGTGATGCCCTAGCTGCTGTGCGGCTACGCCCCTACCACGGCCTCGACCGCGACCTCGGCCCCTCGCGGCCCCAACTGGTGGTACTGGTGGCTGTCTGTCCTGACTGGTAGCACGTGTCCTCACCATATGTGAGAGAATAGAGTAACAAAAGTTTAGTTACCAGTATCAACAGATTCGCACGATAAGAATTCAAGAATGTGAAGTTTTCCTGAAGGTTCTGCAGCCTCTCGAAGATAAGTACAGACTTCTCCGTACCGATCCGCAAGACTCTACTAAACCCGCTCATGACTCGTGAGACCTATGTAACCTAGGCAGTGAAACCAACTTGTCACGACCCAAACTCTAACATGTCGTGATGGCGCCTATCGTGGTACTAGGCAAGCCGACACTTCTCAACAAAAAAAAAACACTTCGATATTTCATAAAAATTAAGTCAAAGCTTTTCATAAAACAAATTTCATAAAAGAGTTAAACTCAAAATAAGAAAATGCGGAAAAGATAGCCCGACATTGGGGTGTCACTAGGTCATGAGCAACTATTACAACTGTTTAGATAATAACATGACCAACATAGTCTGGGAAAAATCCAAAATACAACTACGGGAAGATAGAGAAGAAGAAAGCAGGGCTGCGGTCGCCAGGCAGTTACCTTACTAACTCCAATGATCAGCAATAGAAGAATATCAGCAGCCGCTACCGTGCCCAGAGATACTTGGATCTGCACACAAGGTGCAGGGGGTAACGTGGGTACACCAACTCAGTAAGTAACAAGCCCAAACTATGGACTGAAAGGTAGTGACAACCTCAACCTCAACAGATATACAGAAATAACGTACAGAAATGCAGGCATGCTTTCAGTTTAATAGGTAGTTGAAACAGTAAAATAAAGCAGATACGAGGTAGAGAACAAAACTCTACTACATTTACATGCCAATGCACATGCCGAATGAAATGCCATGTGCTCCCACTCTCAAGTGCTCAACCACTCGGTACTGCATATGTCTATCCGAACCCAGGAAAATCCACTCTGGAACATATACAACACTGACTGCAAGTCAACCAGTACCGAGGAAAAAGGGTAATCCAACCCTGAGGAGAAATCCATCTCCAGGTGTATATATATATATATATATATATATATATATATATATATATATATACACTCAACCACTCGGTACCGCATATGGCCATCCGGCCCAGGAAAATCCATCCTGGAACAAACTCAACGCTGACTATAAGTCACTCGGTACCGAGGAAAAAGGTAATCCAACCCTGTGGAGAAATCCATCTCCAGATATCAATACTTCGGACAAATCCATGTCTAGGGAAATCCATCCCTCAATAATATCATCCGCGCTCACTGGGGTGTGCAGACTCCGGAGGGGCTCCAACAGTCCAAGCGCTATCATAATCATCAACATAACAGCTGCGGCGTGCAGTCCGATCCCATAACTGTCACTCACAACCAGGCTCTCGGCCTCACTCAGTCATCACTCTCCAGTCTCACATATGGGCTCACAATGCCATGAAAACTAGCCCGGAATAATGATATGATGTGCCAATAAATAACAATTGAGACTGAGATTGAGACATGATATGAAATGCATGAATAAGACTAAGTACAGAATATCAATGAAACTAGTGAGATGACAGCAACAAACGACCACTAGGGGTCCCAACAGTATCGGCGTAAAGCCCTAACATGATATCTAGCATGATTTACAGCTCATTTACTTAATCACATGATGGAAACACGAATATCAGCAAGAAAGAGTCACTAAACGGTGTCATGGGATGAATCAAGTCCCGATTCTCACGGTGCACGCCCGTTACTTGGCATGTGCGTCACCTCAATACTAATCACATAACACATAGTTCAGGGTTTCGAACCCTCAGAATCAAGTTTGGAAGCGTTACTTACCTCAAACCGAGCAAAATCCTACTTCGCAATGTCCTTGCCTCTCAACTCGGCCTCCAAACGTCTCCAATCTAGCCACAAGAAATAAAATACGATCAATATAGGCTAAAGGAACTAATTCCACAAGAAAAATACCAAATTATAGTCCAAATCCCGTAATCCACTCAAACTTGGCCCCCGAGCCCATGTCTCGAAATCCGACAAAAATTACAAAATTAGAAAGCCCATTCACTCACGAGTCTACCCATACCGATTTCATCAAAATCCGACATCATTTGGTCCCTCATATCCCCAAATTACTCTCTCCAAATTCCAAGCCCTAACCCCCAAATTTTCATTTCAAAATTCCACTACTTTGGTGAGAAAACAACGGGAAAACGGCATAGCTAAAGATATTAGAGCTAAATCCACTCATCTCACTGAATGCCCTTGAATTCCCTTCAAAAATCTCTTCAAAATCTCCAAAACCCGTGTTCAAAATGATGGAAATGGGTAAAAATTCGCGAAGTCCCCTTTATATACTTTCTGCCCAATGGAACCGCACCTGCGGCCACATCCCGCTTCTGCGGCGCCGCACCTGCGGAATTCTCATCGCAGGTGCGGATCTCACTTACCCGCCCAAATTCCGCATCTGCGGTCAAACAGTCGTACCTGCGGGTGTGCACCTCCGGGCCCTTCCCGCTTCTGCG